CACATAATTCGTCTTCTGCAGCTCCAGGCATCACTACGTCTTCTACAGCTGTAGGCATCACTACGTCTTCTGCAGCTGCAGGCATCTCTACGTCTTCTACGGCTGTAGGCATCACTATGTCTTCTACGGCTGCAGGCATCACTACGTCGTCGTGAGGACCGCCCTCGGAAGTCGGACTTGGGTCGACAGTCCCCAACTCCGAGGACGGTGTGTCGCCACCCAACTGCGATTCCTCCTGAACTGCTGATGATTTTGTCAACCCGTCATTCTCTTGGACAGTGTAGCCGAGTGGTGCTGTCTCGCCGACAGGGTCTGAGTCGCTGAGTCTGAGAGAGACAGCGCATCGCCACTCGGCAATTCACTGTCCAAGACAATTGACTCATCAAAATGTTGTTCGTTCTCGTCGTCGTCCGGAATCGAAGGGGTTTCTTCTGGTTCTGGCCCTGGGGACTGCACGCCACCACTAGAAGTCGTTTCCATACCAATGGAAGATAGAGGATCTGTTACTAATTGTATGAGGCTTTCGTCGTCGCTCTCATGAAGATAAACGCCTTCCATTACACCGATTACAATGCTGCGTATAAATTCGACTAATGCTGCCTGTACCTCGTTGCTTTCATTGTTGACAGCCATTTTTTATTTGCAAGTAGATAGATATATGTGTCAGTTGTAATTGAGAATTGCTAGTGAGCTAAATACAAGTCTCCCAACACAGAGACCGATCAATTCTAAAATCTCCCAGGCGACGACTTGTATCTATAAATTGTTATATATAGCCAGATAGTACGTTCATCGTTCATCGGCTCACAGCATTACCTTTTCGAGCCCGTTAATTTTTCTAAAGACTATTATTATTATCATTATTATTGATATAGTATAGGTAGGTACCTAATATTCTGGTATTACGATTTGTATTACTCTGTGACTCGATGTATACTAAAAAGGCGTAGCCGCCCAGAATCTTAAAGTTAATTTGTTTGTTAAGTTAAATAATATTTAACTGATAATATTACATTTGTGCCACCTTTTTGACTTAATCCTAATTGAATATTTTACACTTTTTGTGTGTTATTCATGACATTTTGATATTATCTTCAAGGCCGCAGTTGGAACAAATTTTCGTGAGGGGTTTAAAACTAAATTATATATTTTCATGATATAAAAACCAACTAAAAAAGAAATTTATATATTATAATAATTATATAAATGTTTTTTATAGATAACCTACCTACATGTGTGATAAAATGTGTATTTTAAATTAAATATTTTTATAGTATAAAGTCTAATAGTTTTTTGGCGAAACAATCATCATCTAGATTAATTTAAATTTGTCTATGTAAACATTGTAAACTAATATACATTCAAAAGAGCTAAACGTATAAAGGCCCTGTCACAGTATCACACACGCATCCGATCCGTCAGGGCATCCGTGTACTAGGAAATACAAATTTCTTATACAATGATATTATATCGTTGAATTCAAATTTAATATCATCCATTATACAGTGACCCACTTGTAACCTACTGTACAGCAGAGCGACACACACTTGCCCACCTTTTTTTAATATTAACATGTTCATATAATATATTATAATATTATCTATAACAATTACCCAGATAATTTGTTTATTTTTATTTTTTATATCTTCCTAAGCATTAAATTTTACTTTCAGTACATTAATTTTGTCATTTTCAACCTATACCTACATTTATAAACCGGCATTTTTTAATTAACAATATAACTACTAAATTTAATTATCTACCTACCTACCTAACATTTAAAAAAATGTATTTTATTGTATCAGATACAATTTGTGTTTGATTAGTAAGTAGGTATATTGTATTATTATAAGTATATAGATTATAGATATAAGATATATTTATATCTGAGTTCAAATTAAATTGTTTACGACTTGTTTTTATTTTATTTATCTACTTAATACCTTTGTATAGTTAACAAATAACAATTAATATGAATAACATTAAATGAAACAATTTTTTATATAGAAGGTTGCATCGCGGCAATGCGAAAAAGTACGTAAATATTTTAATGCATATTGCATTTCCATTTTAATGTTTAGGTACCATGTACAGAGTACAGAACGAGTGCCTATTGACTGATTTTAAATACACCATAATAATATGGAAATCGATGTATCTAAGTAGTGTGTCCCAGTAGGTTAGGCGTCATAGACCATTGTTGTGCGACATCGCATGCAGTAACTTCGCGTGTCTGGACATTAAGAGTCATATAAGAGTCTCTGAAACATCTCTAGGCTCCAAACTTGTACATCTCACTACTTAATGAGAGGTATATGTAACATCTCAGAGATTATATTTTGCACACAGGGTAACTATCTAAGATTATATAATTTAAGAACGATAATGCAAAAATTAATTGCCGGAAATCATTAGTTTTTTCGGTGAAGTCTGAATTTAGTGATCAAACTTATTTTAAAGTTATATAGCTTATTGAAATTGTTGGTATCTTCATATAAGTATACCCGGCCTAGTCACTCGCAAGCTGCGTTCGATCGGTCAATTAAAATCAAAAACATCCCTCGACTTGTTATGTAAAACCATCATTGGTGGGTATCAGAATTATTTTTGATTCATAATTTTTAAAACGTTGATTTACCTAGGATAAAAAAAAAATGTTAATTTGTTATACTTAAGCACGGTAAACTTTAAACGTTGTACGGGTGCGTAAAACACGGAATATCGTGAACTCCGTAAGGCTATACCATAAAAACTAATGATTTTTGGCAATTAATTTTTGCATCATATACCTACCTAGTTCTTATTTGGTTGCAACATATAGGAAAAAAAAATTGAAAAGTTTGCGTCGGCACTAAACTAGAAAATAACACTAAATATAAAAAAGTGGCTCTGCTGTACAGTAGGTTACAGGGGGGTCGCTGTATAATGAATGATATTAATTTTGAATTCAATGATATAATATCATTGTGTAAGAAAAACGATTCTGAGCGGAGACGGTATGTCAGTCTAGGTATAAAATATATTATATACCTACTTATCTATGGTATTAAAATTAAAAAATGAATCTATAATAAATTCCAAATTAATCATATCACAATAGCCATTAGGTACTTGTTATAACTTGTTATACATCAATTACAAACCGTGATACTATAATAGATATCTTATAGTATACTTTAGAAGTTTCAATTAAATAAGAAGAGTATTATACAATCACAACAAAATAACTAAAAAGTTATTCTAAGTTTTTAATACCTAAGTACCTAATTGCGTCCAAATTTGAACTTAAAATGACTATAAAAATAAACTGTGCTTATATATTTTTTGGTAACAGAATAAACTACTTACGTGGAATCTTGTCTTAAATTTTCAATCTTTGAATATAAAAGTTGAACATTTTATACATTTTTAACTACAAAATAATTATTCAATTTTAAATTTGATAAATTTTGTCAAAATTCGAACTTTAAATTCTTATAAAAAAAAATTGTGCCTATGTATTTGTAATACTTTTCAACGGCTATAGTAACAATATATCAGGAGCCTTGAATTACATTTTCAAGTATTTTAACATAACAAATATAATTGTATTGATATTTATAGAGAAAAAAAACTATTAAAATTGGAAACTGACGATGTCTTTAAACAGTTCATAAAGAGTCAAAGTATTTTTAAATTTCTTTGGTGTATAGAAAATGAAAATACAAAAATTCAGTAAAATGTTCATGTATCTACAGTTATTCATTTTGGAATAGGTAACAATAAAATAACAAAACCGCTACATGAGAAATCAAGTGAATATCCAATATTGTAAAAATTCAAATGCTCATAAAAATTCAATTTGATTTGCTGATTTGCTGAGAGACATTTTTTTTTTTGATAAAGGTAGATAAACTTATGAGTAATCTTGTATTACATTTTCAAATCTTAGATTTAAAAAGAAAAATTTTTACGAATTCTTAACTCAAAATAATATACTAATTTTCGTGATTTTTCCATATTTTGTCAATTTTTGAACTTTAAATAGTTACTTGTAAAAAAAAAACTGTTTATTAAAAACTAATTATTTTTATTATTTTTCCTTTGAAACAATATACTAAGAGCCTTATATTAAATTTTCAAGCCTTACCAACAAATAAAATTTAATTGATATTTTTAGAAAAAAACTAAAAAAAATCGAATATGAAAATGTTCCTAAGCAGTTCAAAACAAATCATAATATTTCAAAAGTTTCATCGTGTATAGAAAATGCAAATATAAGCAACCAGTGAAAATTTCATGTATATACATTAATTTGTTTTAGAGTTACACCAATAACCAAAATAGATTTTCTCAAAAACAGATTTTGAGTAAAAATTCCCGTTTGTCTTTTGTTTTTCACGGCGCTTTTGAAAACTACTGAGAAATCAAGGCTCCTAGTAATGTTTCAAAGGCAGATAAAAAAAAATTAAAAAACGATAGTCATAATTTTTTTTATAAGCATTTAAAGTTCAAATATTGACAAAATACGTAAAAATGACGAAAATTTGAAAATTATTTCGAGTTAAAAATTCATAAAAATTTTTCTTTTAGTAGTCCCTGGTATACGTGTAGTAGTCCGTGATAATAACTATCGTGGTCTACGCTAATCACGATCACGATGCTAACACCACAGAACAATAATAACACAGAATACTTATGTGATAAAGGATAATAGTTCAGCGACAGCGCTGATTAAACAGAATATCCTATTGACCTATTATGTAGTATTATTCGATTTTGATAAAATATCAAGTGTTCAAGTGTCAAATGAAATGACAATAGTGTAATCGTTTTTAAATATTTCAATGTGAGTGTGCGCTTTATTATTTTATATAGTTTTTCTATCTCACGACATCCGAAGGCATGGCGATTGTCTTTGGCCTGCCAAAATTGTGTAGCCGACACGTTGCGTTCTGTTTGCTGAGAAACCATTACAAGGTGAGTCCCGAGTAAAGTCTACCGATTCTCCGTACCTACCAATGGGTCGCACAGCCCGCCGCCGCAGCAAACCCATTTCTGACCGCCCTTCCACTGGCTATCAGTTTGAAGTCGTCTCACTGACTACATGGATGAAGTCTCATGGATGGAAGCCTACCTGCCGGTTGGTTCCGGCCAGTTTTGCTGACACTGGACGAGGGCTTATGGCAGCCCAAAACATTGACGCAGGACAACCACTTGCCATTGTACCCGGTTGTTTAGTGATCACTGTTGACTCTGTGTCTATGTCACCATTTGGCAAACACTTTACCACTGTGTACAAGACACAACAAGTATTAGCCACATATCTGATGTTTGAGCTGCACAAAGGATCTGAATCATTTTGGCATAACTATATTGTCTCATTGCCCACAATCCTGTCAAATTCAGCATACTGCCCTGCTGAACATTTACCCGATGATCTTTCAAATAAAGTACAAGACCATCACAACACAATATCAACAACGTTTAATCAAATCATGTACGAAATGTCTTCCGTTGTTTGTTCACACTGTTCAGACACTTGCAGAAATATATTTACATTTGAAGTCTATAAATGGGCATGGTCCATCGTAAATACTAGAGCCGTTTATATGAGTCCAGACTGTAGCTTAAAAAATAAAATAAAATTGTCAGATGTCAACAATCTAGCACTTGCACCATATATAGATATGTTTAACCACTCTCCTTTAGCTTGTGTTCGGGCCATGGTCAATAATTTGAATGGTGCATACACTATTGTAACTGAAAAATTATTTAAAAAACATTCTGAAGTGTTCATTAACTATGGACCACATTCCAATACTAAATTATTTTTAGAATATGGATTCATTGTTCCATCAAATCCACAAGATTCTGTTAATTTGTCAGCTAATGAAATCATTTCAAAAACAGGCAAAGGTTTAAATAAGAATCGAATGGAAAAACTTAGAACTTATGATTTATTAGAAGGTCATTATTGTACATCAGAAGGCTTATCGTGGTCAACAAAAGTCTTGACATACCTATTAATTTATTCTGATCGACTTAATGATGAAGAATTGAAAAACCGGGTGTTTGCAAATTTATTTGACCAAAGTGAGGTCGAAGCTGTATCTAAAATTGGAACTATGGTCGTTGAAACAAAGCTGGAAGAAATAAAACACTGGGAATCAAAAATGTTGACCATATTAGAAAGTAATCAGGCTGAGAAGTCAACTGGTTTTGTGGTTGCTACGGAGCTGGTAAAGGAGAATCGGAGATTACTTGAAAAATGTTTGCAATCATTACATGTTAACTAATAATCTATAAAACATAATCTGTTGGGAATAAATATATTTTAAGGTAAATTTGTTGATTTTTTTCCAGTTGGTTTCTTTGATTAATAAATAATAGCCTAACTTGTTGGTCTATTTATAATACAATAATATCAATATTAAAATGTTCCTTTAATAAAATAAAATAAATCTCATAAACATAATAATACATACCTAATACAACAGATTCAGTATCTAGGTACCTATAAAAAGACAAAGGTTACATAACTAAACATTACTCATAAGTCATACCTAAATAATTACATTAAAAAATATATGTCATTATTATATGTGATAAATTATTATTGCATTGAACAAATACAAATTGTTCGTTTGAGAATACCTATATTTTGGTACGAAGAGGGGTATAATAAGTATATGTACATTATAATATATAACTTCAATTTATATATCTTAGTCAAATTATTAACAATGATTTGTCTAAAACAAACGAGCCACTAATAAGTTCATATGATATCTAAAGAAAAATTAAATGTGCATTTGTATGTGTTATATGAGTGTAATTAATGAATCTAACAGTTCATTATTTTTCCTTTTTTTAAATATATTTCTTTTAAGAAGACACCATACCCACATGCATTGTCTCCATCTAATAAACGCTTAACATAACAAACATTTCAAAAGTATCATATTATATTTTTTTTCCAGGCTATCTCTACTTATAGCATACATCATAACAATGCCCTCTGCAATCGCCATAAGAAGCTGCTAATTCCAAACAAACTGGCAACACTTCCAACATGTTATCATATTGGTGGTGCTCATGTTAAAGAGAACTTGTCCTTATTAGAACCCAATACTATTACAGGCAAAGATATGATCTTGGGTATGATGCAGTACATTTGGCCAAAGGTTGGTTTTCAGGTTATTAAATAGCTTATGAAAGTACCTATATCAGTTACAAAATTAAATAAATATATAGGATGATGTGACTATTCGAAAACGAGTTACATTGGCCCTCGGATTATTGGCTGCTGCCAAAATGTTGAACGTATCTGTCCCATTCATGCTCAAATATGCAATGGACGATCTCAACGAAAAACTTGGTTCTACCGGGGATGCATTGTTAACTATGGATTCGGCACCTGAAACTGTATTAACTGTTGCGGCGACACTGTTGATATCGTGTGAGTAAGTTTGAAGTAATAAGATCAGAAGTAGTACTCAAATATCATAATTTTTATTTAAATGTACATGTATTGATTGGTTTTATTTTTTATACAATTAACATATTATATAAGTCCAATATGCAATTAAATTATAAAATTAATACATAAATCATAATAATTTGTTAATTTTCTGTTATATAATTTAAGTTTAGAGCAGTTATATATATTTGTCATAACTTATCTATTTTAAATTACAATTTAACAATATAAAAAAGCGGGGAAGTGCAATGGGATGGATTAGGTCAGCGGTGGTGGAAGTTTGTCCATCGTCCCTTCGGTCCTCAGACAGGATAGTGTATTACTACAGTATTTGATTTGAATGCAATGATTACATTCCATAAAAAACCAATTCTGAATGGACGAGAGAAAATTTATGATTCATAAATATGTGTTAAGAAGTAACCATTATAATAATATACCTAGTAGAATTAGGTAATTTTAAATTTTATTTGTTTCTATGGTGATATGAAAAGCTTTAGAAAAATACATTTTGGTGGTTTTTCATGTAGCGTTAAAAACTATGGAGAAAATCAAAAAATTACCTCTTCAAAGTACCATCTTGATCCAATTTGCTAAAAGATAAGATACTATATGTTGAAATCGAAGCATTCCTTCTAGTAGAAATATTGCTTACAGGATAAAAATAAAAATAACAAAAATCATTGTAAAACCACTAAAATACAACTTTACAGTGATCTATCATAATTTCAGATGGTGTTTGTAGAACTGCTGCTGCTGGTATGAATGAACTACGTAATGCTGTATTTGCTAGTGTGGCTCAACAATCCATAAGAAAAATTGCCAGAAATGTTTTCTTGCATCTTCACAGTTTAGATCTAAGTTTCCATTTATCTAGACAAACTGGTGCATTATCTAAGGTTTGGTTACATACTTCTTATAGTACTTGATCAAGTGGGCGTAATAATAACTATTTTTAAGGCTTACTTTTTTCATAGTAAAATTAGTTAAAATTAAAATATTTTTATATTTTATGCAGTATTTATTAGTATATTTTAGTATTATTATTTATTTTCACTTTTAATGTTTATTTTTGTTTTAAAAAGTTAATGTAGTTTTTTTTAAGTGTGACATCCGTTAGATGTCTCCAAAAGTTTATTACTATTGTGGCTTCAGTTGCGGATCCAGTTGTTTTCCTTTGTTTTACACTGTGTTTAGCCAATTTCGGAACTTATTGTACTTCCCCCCCTGCCTCTCCCAAAATTAAGCCCTGGATCCGCCACTGTGTGGCTTTAATTTTATATGAAATCTTTTGAAATAACCATCTACACATCCATTAATAGTGATTATATCAATTAGATTTTATCATTCACTTATTATAAGTTATTTTAAATTATCTATTTATGGTTGTCTAGGTAATAGATCGTGGAAGCCGGGGAATAAACTTTGTACTTACTGCTATGGTATTTAATATTGTACCTACTGTATTTGAATTGACACTAGTTAGTACTATTTTGGTAAGTTTTTGTAACTATAAACTTGAACACATTTTTAGTTATTCAATATTGTTTAGGGATTAAATTGTGGTTATCAATTTGCTGCTTTATCCTTTGGCTGTGTCTCTATTTATACAGCTTATACTTTATTAATAACCCAGTGGAGGACAAAATTCCGAATTTTTATGAATCAAGCCGAAAACGAAGCTGGAAATAAAGCTATGGACTCGTTAATAAATTATGAAACTGTTAAGGTATTTTTGTATGTGATAAAATTAATAATTATTCTAAATAAATAAGGACAAATTATAAATTACTTTCAGATAATAATTTATACTATGTACCAAAATTGCATCCAGTTTTTTTTTTTGTATTGTAATTAACAACTACTAATGACTATACTATTCAAAATAAGACCGTGACCAGGCGGCGACCAGTTTTCGTCCGGCGGCGGTCAGACATATGGTGAAACGCCGTCCCCACCACGGCGGTGCATCGGGCTCTGCCACGAAACAAAGCCACGCCCATGCGCACAACTCGGCCGCCTGGTCACGGTCTTATTTTGAATAGAGTATAGACATAATAAATATGTTCATTTCATTTTAATTTTTTTTTTTTAATTTCCACGTAAAGTTAATCTTATTTCAAATTTGTTTAATACTAAAATTCAGTATAGTAAAATTGTAATTGTATCCCCAGTGTCGGACTGCCTCGAAAACGGCCCCCAACAGGCAAATGGAAAATGTTTTAACTAGCCCAAAAAAAAACTCGCTTCGCTCGCAATACAATTTTCATGTACCTACATAGTCACATAGAACATTTTTTTGCAATACAATTGTCATCTTCCATATTTCTCATACAGCCATATAGGCACAAATAACTAAGTACGTACCTAACTGAAATTCAATCATTTGATATATTAACTGGTTTTACTATATTTTCCATATAGAAATTATATTGAGCATGTTCTTAAATCCTAAGACATTTTCTGCAGGTCCTAAGTAAATTGACGACTAGAGACCCATCAGACTGTTTTTATTATCAGGCAGGGGAAATCCCTCCTATCCAACCCCCAAATTATGCCACTGGGGCGTAGCCTCTATACTGGCTACATCACGTTCTGTGACATCAAACATTTTAAAGAAAAACACCGGTTTAAATTGTGCACTAGTTCAATAATTATTCAAAATATAATAATTCAGTTAAAATCAGTTATAATAATACCAAGTCATATGCATATGCCCTTATAAATATAATATTATTTAAGAGGATGTCAGAGCACTATTTGTTTTCACTCTCTGGCCCACGCACAACATAGACAAAACGCATTACTCAGAATCATTTTTTCTATGTTTTTAAGTAATCTTAGAGTAAAATCACCTATTACAAGAAAGATGGAGAATAATATTTTTGAGAGAATGACTTATTGATTTATCTAAATATTGTCTCAAAACAATTAAATCATAATTTAAATTTACATTTTTTTTTGTTTATTTTGAAAGTAGAATACAAAGTCAAATAACAATAAAATACAAAATCGATATGTCAAAAATATTATTCTCTATCTTTTTTTTTATGGAAGATTTTACTCTAAGATAACATAAAAACATAGAAAAAATGATTCTGCGTTAATTGCGTTTTGTCTATGTTGCTCGTGGGCCAGAGAGAGAAAACAAATGGTGCACAAACATCCTCTTTATAGTCACAACAATTTTACACTATTTAAAATAAATGATACATATTTGTATATAGACAATAGAAAGCTATTAAATTTGTAGAACGATAATGATAATGTCATTATTTAAATTTTTTTTTTCCTTTCATATTTCATTATTTTAATATTTTTAAGAACGTCTCAAGATTGTAAACAAAAATACGTTTCCTGATTTTAAAAAAAAAATGTTTATTTTGTATTTCTATTTACTCTAAACGAATAATAATAATATTAATAAGTACAAAATCAGGGGCCCCCAATTATCATAATCAAGTCAAGGCCCCGCCCGCAAGTGTGGACTAGCGATCTGGGCCAGTCCGACTCTGTGTGTCCCTGTGTTCTACCTTTTACCCTCTTTAATTTGTTTCAGCCTTAAGAACTTAAAACATCAAATAATTTTTTTCTTTGATTTTAGTATTTCAATAACGAACTGTACGAAGCCAATAGATACGACCGTGTCTTACAAAAATTTGAGATGGCTTCGCTTAAGACTAGCTCAAGTCTGGCACTTTTGAATTTTGGTCAAAATGCCATTTTTAGCATAACAATGAGCGCAGCGATGATATTAGCCGCAAAACAAATAGTTGAAGGTAATATATCTGGATTGTATTTTTATTTACTGGTTTCATGTTATGTATAATCAAACAATAATACATCAAGCAACCAGATATAAATGTAAATAATCCATTAGGTAACATGACAATTGGTGACCTGGCAATGGTGAATGGTCTCCTTTTCCAGCTGGCCATGCCACTCGGATTCCTGGGATCTGTTTACCGTGAAGTACGACAGGCATTGCTCGACATGCAGTCCATGTTTGCGATAATGGCATGTGACCCATCTGTTAAAGTATGCATCTGCCATCTGTACACAATTTTTGTGTTTTTAAAAAGATAAAACTTGCATAGTTTAAAAAACTTAACACTTAATTTTTAATAAAGAAATCACATTTTTACAATTTCTTATGTTGTAATTTTACAAGCTAAAGCATACTACTATTCTAAAAATGTTTGTTTACGCCCAAATATGGAATATTGAATGATAAGTTTTTTTTTATTAATAAGCATTTAACAATTAGACAGTTTTTACTTTGGTAGTTAATACTTAGAACAACCTCTATTGACACTTCAGTCCTTATATCAAAATCTAAGATATTTAAAAAAAAAAAAAAAAATACTAATATTTAAAATTTTAATGATTGATATTTTTTTCCCATGATTTTTCAAGACAATGGTCTGCTTAAGATTACAAAAACAAATTTATAGATTGTTTTGATATAATAACTCAAAATAAATTATAAACATTTTTATTCAAAAACACAAAAATATTTGAATAATCTGATTTTCACTGTAAAATAATGTAGTCAGTATATTATTTATATATTTATCACTTCTGAATAATTAATTGGTTTTGCGAAATCACATATTACTACCTAATGGCTTTTCAGTGGTGACAAATCTTGAACTCTAAAAAATCCACCATTCAGGTATTAAATTATTTTAATTAAAAAAAAAAAAAACACATTTATTTTATTATTAATTGCAAAATATAACATTTTATATAAATCTTAGCTGTCTAAAATGTGGGTGCTAGTGTAGTGTGCGATCTTCCATATCGTTTCTGGTGTAGCGTGAGATCTACCAGCTCGTTAAAATGTGAAAAATTCATATAACATTACATTAGTAATAGTTATATTTACTATATTCCATTATCTGCACTCAGTTCTATGCTATTATGATTACTAATTAAGTATGCCATTTCCCCTACTATTTCAAAACCATATAATAACCCCAGTGCAATGCACAATTTGCACTGGTAGTATCAAGGCCGGATTAAGAAGTAAGAACCTAATGGGCCCCGGGGCTGAAATTTCATATGGGTCCTTTTGACAAAACATGATTTACAAAGACACACGCTACGCTCACAGGAACATACATTTTTCTAACTATTTCACAAATTGACAATTGCATTATAAAATTGATAGGTAAAAGTAATTTATGTCTATAAAGCTACTCATTTTATTGTAGTATAATAAAAGTTAATAACATATTTCTTTAATTTAAATTCAAATTTTCATAATAACTTTTAAATTTATTAACAGTATACTCTTTACAACAAATATCAAACAAAAATCATTTTATCAAATAAATCTTTTTTTCTTGCTTAACTTGAAGCCAGCACTTTTAGTATTTTATTTAAGTCTAATGATTTTAACAAATCATTCTCGGAATATAAAATCATTTGTATGTCTAAGTTTTTTTGGGTTTGACTGGTTATATACTTATTTTTTACTCTAGTTAATTTAGAAAAAGCTCTCTCCGTACATACTTAACATTAACTATTGATGATATTATTGATATCAATGAAAATAATAAATAACAGTAAAATGCGTCTTTTCTACCACATAGTGCTTTTGTAGGTATTTACTATTTAGTTGTTTTTGTCAATAAAAAAAAATGGTTTTTAAAATTTAAAATATAGAAAAACTTTTTTTTTAAATCACTTTAAAATGTGTATTAGCTTAAAATTGTTTGAGTCCCTTTCATTTTGGTACTTGAGGCCTAAAACCCCCTTAATCCGTCCTTGGGTAGTATATCTGGCAGTCATCGCTGCATTCAACTATTCACGTACATAAGTTTTGTTTCTTATTTTTTTTTTATGTCAATATCTACCAGAACCGAACGGATGCCGTCCCGTTGTCTATCAGTAAAGAAAACGCTTCCATCGAATTCCGAAACGTCAACTTTGCATATCAGAATGGCAAACCTATTTTGAATGACCTGTCCTTTGTCGTTCCACCCGGAAAGAAAGTCGCAATCGTTGGAGGTTCCGGTAGTGGGTGAGCAAATCTGACAAATTCCGTCAAAAGTCTTGTCTGTACGTCACAACGTGGGCGTTTTCATAAAATATACTATTACATGGTTTCTAAATTGTACTAGAGTATAAAAACAAAACTTAGTTTTTCGTACTCTTCCTTAAATAAGGACGATGGTACTCTACTTGATTTTAGATTTTGAGCCGAGCGATAAATGTATTGATTGTACAATGATGTGTTTTTTTAATTTTTTTTTCTGTCATCATCTTTTAGGCCAGTAAAAATGCTTAAATTTTCTTCAACAGTATCTTTTCTGATAGGAAAGTTAATCTAAATGGTTCTTAAGGGGGTCAAAAGTAAAAAAACTCCTAATAGTCAAAATCGCATGGAAAAACAAAATAAAAATTAAGGAAAAACTTGAATTCTTACGCAAAATCGATTTTAGTTTTTGTTGTTACTCTAAAACAAATGACCTAAGATTCATGACATTTTCACTGGTTGCTTATATTAGCATTTTCTATAAAGATAAAATATTCAAAAAAATTTTATTTGTTTTAAACTGTTCACTGACATTTTTAGTTTTTTTTTCTATATATGTCTATAAAATTGTATTCGTTGTGTCAAAAGGTTGAACATTTAGTACAAGGCTCTTAATATGATGTTGCAATGGCAGTTTAAAAAAATTTAAACATAGCCACAATTTTTGTTATAAGCATTTAAAGTTCGAATCATGACAAAAAATGTAAAATGACGAAAATGTGCAAATTATTTTGGGTTAGAAATTCATAAAAAATTTTCTTTTTAAAACTAAGATTTTAAATGTAATACAAAATTCTACATACAATTGTCTCCCTTTATCAAAAAAAAAAAAAAAAAAATGTCTAGAAGAAAGTTAAATTACATTTTTCTGAGCGTTTGAAGTTAGATTTTTACAACATTGGATATTCACTCGATTTCTCTTGTAGTGATTTTCTTATTTTGTTGTAATTCAAAAATGAATAACTGTAGAAACATGAATATTTCACTGAATGTTTACATTTTCATTTTTTATACACCAAAAAGTTTTGATAATATTTTGATTCGTTTTGAGCTGTTGACGGACATTTGTCAATTATTTTAGTTTTTTTTATGAATGTCAATCAAATGTTATTTGTAAGGTATAAAAGCATGGGAAATTAATACAAGGCTCCTGATATATGATTACTAATAGAAGTTTAAAATATTAAAAATTCATGGCACAATTTTGTTTTATAAGCATTTAAAGTTCAATTTTTGACAACATTTATTAATTTTTAAATTTTTAAATGATTTTGTAGTAGTCAAACAATTATAAAATGTTCAACTTTTATTGCTAAGGATCGAAAATTTAAAACAAGGTTCCACGTAAGTAGGTTATTCTGCAGGGGCGTAGGTAAGGGGGTGGGGGGCCATTAAAAAACCCCAATTGGTTAATATATAATAATAATAATCAGGAAAAAATTACAAACAACAAAAATTACTTTTTAGTTAAACATAAGAAAACAATTAATATATTCCTAAATTATAATCAAGAGCAAAGATGAATATTTTTGTTATACAATTTTACAAGTACCCGTTTTTTACGAAAAATAATGATTATCTAGATAGATATCTAATGTTATATTCAATATTGTAATAGCTATATATAATATATGAACTACAAAATTGCTTGCCCGAAAGTGTGATAAATAGATTTTCCTCTCATTTATAATGTTCTCAAAATGTTTGCCTCTATTCCTGTGTCTACTGCAAGTGCAGAACGTTCCTTTTCTACATTAAAGCGGTTAAAGACGTATTTACGAAACATCGTTGGTCAAGAGTGACTTCACTGAATGTTTATATTAGCATTTCCTATACACCATACAATTTTGAAAATATTTTGACTCTTTTTGAGCTGTTTACGGACATTTACAGCTTTCAATTTTTTTTAGTTTTTTTTCTATAAATATCAATTAAATTTTATCTGTTGGACCAAAAAGTGTAAAAATTTAATACAAGCTTCCTGATATATTGTTATAATAGCAATTAAAAAATATTAAAAATACATAGGCATCATTTTTTTTATAAGCATTTAAAGATCGAATTTTGACAAAATGTATCAAAATTATCAATCATTGTAATTAATAAATTATAAAATGTTCAGTTTTTATAGCTAAGGATTGCAAATTTAAAACAAAGGTTCTCATAAAAAATTCATACTGAACCAAAAAATCTAAAAAAATATATGAACACGGTTATTTTTTACAGACATTTTAAATTCAAATTTGGATGAAATTACATAATAAAAAACCTAGAACAACTATTTTAGTTATTTTGTTGTGATTGTATAATATTATTCGTAGATACTTGAAACTTCTAAAGTATACTACTATATATCTATGATAGTATCAGGGTTTGTTGTTGGTGTATAACGTGTTAAGGACCTAATGGATATTGTGATATGATTAATTTGGTATTCATTATAGGTCAATTTTTTTTAATACCATAGATAAGTATATAATATGTCTTATACCTAGAAGGACATACCGTTTCCGCTCAGAATCGTTTTTCTTATACAATGATATAATATCATTGAATTCAAATCAACCTTTATACAGTGACCCACTTGTAACCTACTGTACAGCAGAGCGACACCCACTTGCCCACCTTTTTTTTTTTTAATCTATTTTGACCAAAATTGTGCTGTTTGAAAAATAATATTTTGAACAATATCATACAGTTAAAAATTTAAATATTCTCAATTGGAAAAATGTCACTTAGGGCCTTTGGACGTTCATGAAATATTCTGCGGCCAAGAAATGCGCAAACAGTCTTTTCTAATAACAAAATTATTATAATACGTAAATAAATAATATATTATAATCAGTCCTGTGGATTTTAATGTACTTTAAAAAAACTGTTGAATACGTATTAAAAATTGAAAGTGAACAAAATATGTGAATATGTGCATTTTAAATTCTTAATGCAAAATTTCCTATTTACAGAAATAAGAATACATTTAAATATCTAATAATACATTTAATAAAAATTTAAGCTTAATTTGCATACTGTGCGCTTATATATATATAATTTATTACATTTTGCATTATTAGTTTAAGATTAACGATACAAATATAAATTTTTTACTTAGATCCCCCTCTGAATTTTTTTTTATACGTGTGATAATAGGTATATAAATATATAATATATACATAATAAAATCTATAATATAGTATTTTATCATGTTATTATGTTATTAAAACTTAATAATAATAAATATTTAACGATGCGATATATGGACTTTTCAGTAAATCCACAATAATCAGATTGCTGTTCAGATTTTTCGAACCGTCGTCGGGGGAGATACTCATCGGTGGCAAGAACATCAAGGACGTTGATATGGATAGTCTTCGGAAAAGCATGGCAGTAGTTCCTCAGGTATAGTTAATTATTGCAATATAACATCCTATACGCGGATTATGTAAAGATCATTATGTAAAGATCAGATTTTTAAATAAGCTTATTTTTATGTTGCGGTATTTATTTAGTAAACTACTTACATTTACTTAATTTGTGTATCAGGGTGGGTATGTACCTATAATAATAAATAATGCAGATTATTATCTCTAGGGTGAGAAATAATATTAATATTCTTTTGTTTTATCTGTATATAGGATTCGGTTTTATTCCACGACACGATCATGTATAACCTCCACTATGGTGACATGAGCAAGTCCGAATCCGAAGTCATCGAGGCGGCCAAACTTGCGGAACTTCACAACTCTGTGTTAAAGCTACCAAACGGGTATTCGACGCAAGTGGGTGAACGGGGCCTAATGATATCTGGCGGTGAAAAGCAACGGGTGTCCATTGCCAGGGCCATACTTAAGGACAGTCCGATTCTGATATTCGACGAAGCCACATCGTCTTTGGACTCGATCACCGAACAGGTATGGTGTATAGTGTTGCTAGTGTATACTGTAAACAACAAAGCGTGTAAGCTGGCTGCCAGGTCAATGATTTTTAATAAAATTATTACCTATAGGTAATCATATCATTATGCCGCACTTATTATAAATCTTTAACAATATTTTGTAGGTAATAAGTAGGTATAGAAATTTTTTTTCTTCTCTGAGTCCACTGTTCTATTCCGCCAAATGTCGGACACAGCGGAACGTGGTGAATACCTGAATTTAATATTGTAAATGAGATTCCATCTGTAGTATATATTAGTATCTATATCCAAATACCAATCATATTTACTACTTTTATACATATTCCTAATCGTATATTCATAATTCATTGGCGTAGCTAGGGGGGGCTTAGCCGCTTCAGTGTGAATATTAGCCAACACAAATTATTGGTATTTCATTTAGTTTATAGTGTTTTTAGATTCTGAGTGAAACGATGAATGTATTGATTTTACAATGATGTGTGTTTTTTTATTTATTTATTTATTTATTTTTTTATTTTTTTTGTGTCTGTGTACACGATAAGTAGTCGAAATAATGCTTCGATTTTCGACTTCAGTATCTTGTTCGATTGGAAAGTGAATATCGTTGGTGCATTGGGGAGGTCAAAATTTAAATTTCCCAGTAGTTTTCAAGAGCGCCGGGAAAAACAACATAAAAATTAAGGAAAAACGGGAATTTTTACGCAAAATCGGTTTTCCAAAAAATCGATTTTGGTTTTTGGTGTAACTTTAAAACAAATAACCGTAGATACATGAAATTTTCAGTGGTTGTTTATATTTGCATTTTCTATACACGATAACATTTTCAAAATATTTTGATTTATTTTGAACTGTTTAGGGACATTTTCTGTTTCCAATTTTATTAGTTTTTTAGATTCTGAGCGGAGCGATGAATGTATTGGTTTTACAATGATGTATGTTTTTATATTTTTATATTTTTATATTTTAGATTCTGAGCGGAGCGATGAATGTATTGGTTTTACAATGATGTATGTTTTTTTTTATATTTTTATATTTTTATATTTTTGTGTCTGTCATCACGTTTTGGGACAGTAAAAGTGCTTCGATTTTCTTCAATAGTACCTTTTCTGATAGGAAAGTGAATCTAGTTGGTACTTTGGGGGGTCAAAAGTAAACATTTTCCAGTAGTTTTCACAAGCGCCGGGAAAAACAACATAAAAATTAAGGAAAAACGGGAATTTTTACGCAAAATCGATTTTCCAAAAAATCGAATTTGGTTATTGGTGTAACTTTAAAACAAATGACCGTAGATACATGAAATTTTCACTGGTTGTTTATATTTGCATTTTCTATACACGATAACATTTTCAAAATATTTTGATTTATTTTGAACTGTTTAGGGACATTTTCATTTTTCATTTTTTTTTAGTTTTTTTTCTAGAAATATCAATAAAATTTTATTTGTTGGTTGCGAAAGCTTGAAAATTTAATAGAAGGCTCCTAATACGTTGTTTCAAAGGCAGATGAAAAATATTAAAAATCCTTAGTCACAATTTTTTTTTATAAGCATTTAAAGTTCAAAAATTGACAAAATATGGAAAAATCACGAAAATTAGCAAATTATTTTGAGTTAAGAATTCGTAAAAATTTTTCTTTTTAAATCTAAGATTTGAAAATGAAACACAAGATTCCTTATAAGATTATCTACCTTTATCAATAAAAAAATCTCTACCGGACAGTCAAATTAAATTTTTATGAGCGTTTGAAATTCAAATTTTTACAACATTGGATTTTCACTCGATTTCTCATGTAGCGATTTCCTTATTTTGTTGTAATTCAAAAACGAATAACTGTAGATACATGAAAATTTCACTGAATGTTTATATTAGCATTTCATATACACCATACAATTTTGAAAATATTTTGACTCTTTTTGAGCTGTTTATGGACATTTACAGCTTTCAATTTTTTTTAGTTTTTTTTTCTATAAATATCAATAAAGTTTTATTTGGTTTACCAAAAAGTCTGAAAATTTAATACAAGCTTTCTTATATATTGTTACAATATCAGTTGAAAAATTTTAAAAATACATAAGCACGATTTTTTTTATAAGCATTTAAAGTTGGAATTTTGACAAAATTTATCAAAATCTCGAAAATAATCAATCGTTGGAATTAAAAAATTATAAAATGTTCAGTTTTTATAACTAAGAGTTGAAAATTTAAAACAAAGATTCTCTTAAATAATTCATACTGTAACCAAAAAATCTAAAAAATATATAAACACACTTATTTTTTACAGACATTTTAATTTCAAATTTGGACGAAATTACATATTAAAAAACCTAGAATAACTATTTTAGTTATTTTGTTGTGATTGAATAATATTATTCGTGGGTACTTGAAACTTCTAAAGTGTACTATTATATATCTATGGTAGTATCACGGTTTTTGTTGATGTATAACGCGTTATAAGTATCTAATGGATATTGTGATATGATTAATTTGGAATTTATTATAGGTACATATTATAGGTCAAATTTTGGTTTAGTACCATAGATATGTATATAATATGTCTTATACCTAGACTGACATACCGTCTCCGCTCAGAATCGTTTTTCTTATACAATGATATTATATCGTTGAATTCAAATTTAATATCATCCATTATACAGTGACCCACTTGTAACCTACTGTACAGCAGAGCGACACCCACTTGCCCACCTTTTTTTTTTATGAATATCAATAAAAAATTATTTGTTGAGTAAAAATACTTGAAAATTTAATACAAGGCTCCTACTATATTGTTTCAAAGACAGATGAACAATATTAAAAATCGTTAGTCACAATTTTTTTTTTTTAAGCATTTAAAGTTCAAAAAATGACAAAATATGGAAAAATCACGAAAATGTGCAAATTATTTCGAGTTAGAAATTCATAAAAATTTTTCTTTTTAAATCTAAGATATGAAAATGTAATACAAGATTCCTTATAAGATTTCCTACATTTATCAAAAAAAAAAAATTCTATAAGAAAGTCAAATTAAATTTTTATGAGCGTTTGAAATTCAAATTTTTACAACATTGGATATTCACTCGATTTCTCATGTGGCGATTTCCTTATTTTGTTGTAATTCAAAAACGAATTACTGTAGATAAATGAAAATTTCACTGAATGTTTATATTAGCATTTTCTATACACCATACAATTTTGAAAATATTTTGACTCTTTTTGAGCCGTTTACGGACATTTTCAGTTTTCAATTTTTTTAGTTTTTTTTTTCTATAAATATTAATAAAGTTTTATCTGTTGGGCCAAAAAGTGTGAAAAATTAATACAAGGCTCCTGATATATTCTTACAATTTCAATTGAAAAATATTAAAAATACATAGGCACAATTTTTTTTTATAAGCATTTAAAGATCGCATTTTGACAAAATTTATCAAAATCTCGAAAATTATCAACCATCGTAATTAATAAATTATAAAATGTTCAGTTTTTATAGCTAAGGATTGAAAATTTAAAAGAAAGATTCTCATAAATAGTTCATACTGTAGCCAAAAAATCCAAAAAATATATGAGCACAGTTATTTTTTACAGACATTTTAAGTTCAAATTTAGGACGAAATTACATATTAAAAAACCTAGCATACCTACCTATTTTAGTTATTTTGTTGTGAGTATATAATACTATTCGTGGGTACTTGAAACTTCTAAAGTACACTATATTATATATCTATGATAGTATCAGGGTTTGTTATTGATGTATAACGTGTTATAAGTACCTAATGGATATTGTGATATGATTAATTTGGAATTTATTATAGGTCAATTTTTTTTAATACCATAGATATGTATATACCTAATATGTCTTAAACCTAGACTGACATACCGTCTTCGCTCAGAATCGTTTTGTTATACAAATATACATTGATATTGTATCATTGAATTCAAATTTAATAGCATCCATTATACAGTGACCCACTTGTAACCTACTGTACAGCAGAGCGACATCCACTTACCCACCTATTTTTTTTATTATTATTAATTATTTTTGTAGCCCCCGGCCCCCGCAATATATTCATATATTATAATGTATTCTAACGTACAATTGCAATTTGCAATAGATTTTGTATTTAGAAACCACCGTACGTTTTTTCAATCTAAAAGTTAGGTATTTTATTCAATCACATTGAACATTTAAATTTTTTAATTACAATAATTGATTATTTACGATATTTTGATAAATGTTGTCAAATTGTAACTTTAAATGTTTATAAAAAAAATTGTGCCAATGTATTTTTAATATTTTTCAACTGCTATTGTAACAATTACAGCGTGTAACAGAAAGATATGACAAAACCTATTTTGGTTTTTGGTTAAACTCTAAAACAAATGAACGTATATACATGACATTTTCACTGGTAGTTTATATTTGCATTTTCTATACACGATAAAATTTTCAAAACATTTTGATTTGTTTTGAAATGTTTAGGAACATTTCCAGTATATGTATGTGTCATATCTTTCTGTTACACCCTGTATATCAGGAGCCTTGTATTAAATTTTCACTCTTTTTTACCCAACAAATAAAATGTTATTGATATTTATAGAAAAAAAAAAATTTTAAAAATTGGAAACTGAAAATGTCCGTAAACAGCTCAAAACAAGTCAAAATATTTTTTAAAATGTTATGGTGTGTGTAGAAAATGGTATTATAAACATTCAGTCAAAATGTCAATATATCCACGGTTATTGGTTTTAGAATTATACACCAAAATCCAAAATCGACTTTTTCGAAAAAATTCACGTTTTCCTTAATTTTTTTTTGTTTCACTCGGTGCTTTTGAAATTACTATAAATTTTTACTTTTGACCTCCCAAAGTACCAATAGATTCACTTTCCTATTAGAAAGATGCTGTTGAAGAAAAATCTAAGCATTTTTACTGTCCTAAAAGGTGATGACATACACAAATTAAGAAAATAAGAAAAAATACACATCATCATTGTAAAACCAATAATATATTCATCACTCCGTTCGAATATAAAATAGTCATGCGACCAATATGCCTTTTAAAAAAATTAATAAAACCAAGGAAATAGAATAAACTGATAAATATCAATTAAATCGGGTATACATCCTTATTATTGGATCAGGGCTTTAATTTTCTGTAGGTTTTTCATTTTTATTTGTGGTTCCATCTCGTTAATAATTATTATACATCAATCGATCATCATTTATATAATATCTTATCGTTAATACAATGTTTCTTATCTATAGAACATACTGAAGGCATTGCGGCGAGCTACTAAGGATAAAACGAGCGTGTGCATCGCCCATCGGCTGTCGACCATAAAAGATGCGGACGACATATTGATATTGCGCAACGGGAAAGTCGCTGAACGCGGCAGTCACCAGTGGCTGATGGAGAACGCGCGTCGAGTATTCCGAGATGTGGAACATTCAACAAGACACGGCCTCAGCGAAAGGCCAATAAAGTCACATGACCATCCGAATAATATTATTATCATTATTAATATTCGTTTCATTTTTACGTATTTACGTCGAAAAACATTTTTTTGCGATTGTCCTACACCGATTTAGTTACAATTATTATTATTACTTTAATGTCCACGTTTAAGAGATAATATTGCAGGCTATACCTATATATATAATATTATTATATTATGTGCATGCGTCAGCCAAATGTCGTAAGTGATGGCATTTTTCGATATTAATGAAAATAATATGTAGATAGCCTAGATATAGGTGCCTGTTGTTACTTGTTATATATAGCTATAGGTAACTTATACGAGAATAAAATTATAATAATAAAATCGTACCCGCTGTACTATTGTACTTTATTTGTTTTCTTAATAAATTGAATTGTTTTTTTTTTCAAATTCTGTTGGTTTTGTTTGGAAATTGAAAACAACTGGTAGGGCGTAGCTAAGGGCAAAGGCGCACATTGGGCGTGAATGTAGGGGGTGATGGAATAATTTGTGGTATACAGAACCGTGGGGGCTTTGTCCCCTCCCCTCACACTCCTACTAATAATATAATAGACGTAACGTAATATCAACACGTTACTTAATTATACTGCAATCCTTGTATAGACAAATTAATAACTAATAATACGAAATTGTATAAATATAATGGCTATTCTCTTTATTTATATAAATTATTATTAGGCAACTATACTGAGAATAATAATATATTATTGTATATTCAAAATATTTAAAAATAATCTAATACTATAGTTATATTATAAAATGTTATCACGTGGGAACTGGGGGTGCTAAGCACCCCCTCCCCCAATATGTGTGCCTTTAGCCTATGGCTAAGGGAGATGTTATATAAGTGTGATAATGACCTATTGACCTCTATGGTCTATAGACCATGTTTATTTATTAAAGTTATACTTATAATAAAATGTTAAATGGTGAACAATATATTGTAAGTTAAATAAGAAGTTATGACCAATATTAATATAAATATTATTGTAAATAATATCCAAATTGGTATCCCCCACAAGGATCAGTAATGTCTAACTATAAAACACAAACATTGTTTCTACCTACCTGCTACCTGCTACCTAGGTATGTCCTTTATGCATTCCTAAACCGTTCATCCGATTGCGATTAAATTTGATATAGAGATAGAATTAGACATTGGGGAAGTCGGCTACATTTTGTCACGAAAAAAGGTGAATAGAGGTCCCCCCCGTGGAGGTTCTCAGACAGGGATTTTGAGGTATACGATATGGAAATATTGTTTATAAATGATTGCTAATTGTTTTAATAATAATAATTATTATTATTAATGCGATAAGCCTTTGTATTTTAGTACAGAACGTATCGATTTCGTACCACGGTTTTTGTTAGCTAATTGTATTTTTTAATACTTAAAAAGTAAATTCTACACTTACATATGCACCTCGCATGGTCCGCGATCTAACTCAGGTAGATTATTGCCTACTGATGATATAGGTTACTTGTATACTTGTAGCATATTGAATCTAAAGTTGAAAATCTAGGGACTAAGGTTCAAATGAAAGAATTACATTTTAAAAGAAAGAGAGAAAACAATAAAACAATTTTTTACAAATTCTATTATTTTTTTTTTTTTGTAACTTAAAAAGGAATATCCAACTGTAGATTTGAAAATATTTCCATCGAATATTCATAATAGCAATTACTATTGACGCCTAGACATAATAATTTCGAATTTTTTCAGTTTTTTTTTCGAGTTATGTTATGTAGGGTGATTATTAATTGTTTATTACAAAATTATTCATTACCTAGTCATTATACAGCAATTACATTTTTGAAAAATTATTTTACGTTCCATTGTATGGCAAATAATTATTAATCACCCAACATAGTGTATAAGTGTTCAGTGTTGCGAAAGAAGCCCCTAAACTATTAACTAGTACATAGCTGGACCGACTGTAGATAGCCGCCACTGCAGATATTTACAATTATTTTAACACGTACATTTTCAGTCTGGAAATTAGATCATAATTAAAATCAAAATTATCTAATTGATTACCTGACGTATTTTGGTTAAGCGACATATTGAACTATAATGGGAACCACAGTTTTAGAAGTAAAAGGACATGGAAGCTTAGGTTAGTTCTTGAGTTGAATTAATGGACATAATGGAACCCAATTAATTTTAATCATGCAGGAAAGTTTATCCAACCATTTATTAAGTTATATAGTATACCAAAATACTTTACATAAGAGTATTTACGACGTTTAGCTAAGGATACTAAGCTGATTTGGTTAGCGATATCGGAAGTAGTACCTACGTAGACGTATTTGTAAAACCCATTTTATACCCTAACATATGAATAATGCGCCTTTGCCCTTTGTATTTTATTTTTTTGTCAAATGCTTCGACCGGACCACTCTGATATGGGTTCCAAATTCTAAGACCGATCTCTGTAATGAACTATAGATCGCGACAAGACCAAGTGAAATGAAACCAAGTACCTAGGTAGGTACTAAGTACTAACTCAAGGCTTTGCTGTAGATTTTGTTTATATTATCGTTAAATAGGAGAACATTATTCTTAAATAACGGATTTTGTTGTTTTGTTAGATCGTATATTGTGTATTTATAGATAATAATTGGAGACTGAAACATAGTTGAATGAAATTTGGTGGCTTTTAGAACATTTATATAGTGACTATTAGCCGAGAAACATTCCCTTAAACTATTCAGGGTGTATAGTAAATAGCGATCTAGGGCGAATCGCCGTCGCCGTTTCGCCGTTGCCATTTCGCCGTGGCCACTTCGCCGTGGCCACTTCGCTGTAAAATCATTTCGCCGTCGCTGTTTCGACGTGAGGCCACTTCGGCGTTAAAAAAAAATTTGGAGTATTTTACTTATTATTATTTACTATACACATTTTCACATTATACACATTCCATATTCAATAATATAAAAAATATTTTTATTGTTCGTCAATATATTTAATAATAATAAGCTTTTATCGACGTCTAAGTGCCGTATTACAATAGTTATTTACATAATCGAAGTGTAATCGACTATTGTAATATGGGCCCTAAATAGTTTATCATGTTCCGATATCTGAAGGTTTAGATGTGCTGCAGAGTTTGTGTGTATGAGAATTTATCATAGCTTATAATCGCGTCCAGCGATAACGAAATAGGTAGAATTAAGATGTAAGAAAATAACATCCAACAGATATTTAGCTCCTCTGCACCTAAAGATTTTAATTCTGTTATAATTCCAGAAGCGTACCAATTTATTCACCATCTGAAGGTGGTGAATGAGAAATTTTTACTCGAGGATAGTGGGCCAGGTCTAGATATAATTTAATTTTGGTAGATTAGACAGTTTAGATATTTAGAACGATCAAATATATGGTTTTGTGACGGAACATTTAAGATTGCACCTCCTCTTTTTGCTCAAGTTTACGTAATACTGGCTAAAGATATTGGAGGCGTACTAATTTTGTCAAGTTTTGAACTTTAAATGCTTATAAAAAAAACTGTGACTAACGATTTTTATATTTTTCATCTGCCTTTGAAACAATATACTAGGAGAATTCTATTAAATTTTCAAGTTTTTTTAACCAACAAATAAATTTTATTGATATTTCTAGAAAAAAAACTAAAAAAAAATGAAAAATGAAAATGTCCCTAAACAGTTCAAATAAATCAAAATATTTTGAAAATTTTATCGTGTATAGAAAAATGCAAATATAACACACCAGTGAAAATTTCATGTATCAACGGAATTTTTTTTTACGTTACAAAAAACCAGACCAAAAACCAAATTCAATTTTATGAAAAATCGATTTTGATTAAAAATTCCCGTTTTTTCCTTAATTTTTCTTTGGTTTTTCTTGGCGCTTTTGAAAATTACTGTGAATTTTAATTTTGACCTCCCCAATGCACCAACGATATTCACTTTCCAATCGAACAAGATACTGAAGTTGAAAATCGAAGCATTATTTCGACTACTTATCGTGTACACAGACACAAAAATAAAAATAAAAAATAAAAAAAAAAAATATATAAAAACACACATCAATGTAAAATCAATACATTTATCGTTCCACTCAGAATCTAAAATGTGTATTTTGTTAATTTTTTTAACGTAGAAGTGGCCTCACGTCGAAACAGCGACAGCGAAATAGTTTTACGGCGAAGTTGCGACGGCGAAATGGCAACGACGAAACGGCGACGGCGATTTGTCCGTGTTCGAGTAAATAGTGAGCAATGGGCATCAAGGACGTAACTGAGGGAGGTGCTAAGGGCCTAGACCCCCTCCCGCCTCTCGAAATTATTAAAAGTAGAATAAGAATTTTTATATTTTGCATGTAAAAATGAGAAGTGTCCATAGTCCATATTAAAAAAATTTGGACCCTCCCTCGATATTTTTTTCACTTACTTGATGGGCATTATGTATTTTGTTTTAATTCAAAAATAATATTCATGGGGACTTGAACTTTATACGTGTATTATTATATTTTATATACACAATGACAATTTTAAAACATTTATTTTCATTTTAAGGCTTTAAGCTAGGTATAACTTACTTATACTTATTTAAATCTAAATTCATGCTACTTTTAATTAATATGCAACCGATCAAAATTATTTGAAAAGTAATTCAAATTTACTTTTCTTAAGTATTCTTTATCATACTGAATATTTATATCATTTCAAAAACCTGTACAATGTATATATAAACCAACATTTCATGTTCATATTTATATTTTTCATCATATTTAAAAAAAAATTTCCAATAGTGTTTCGAATAACTTACCTGGTCAATTAGGCTGAATTTTCGAAAACAGCCCACCGACACTTGAGCCGTTTTAATAACTACACCGCTGACGCTCATTCCTTACATGTGAACATTTTAAGTGTCACATTGAGTTTAAAGTATGGCAGGTGAAATGAAAACAATAAGGATTAAAATCAATTTGTATAATAATTGTCTTACTTTATGGTTTCAATTTATTTACAAAGTCAATAATATATGTATATGTTTTTCTTTTCATTTTTATGCAACTATGTATAACATATTTATATCAATTTCTTACATTTATTTATTACAGTATCAATTCTAAATTAATAAACATTATATGCAGTCCGACTAAGCAGACACATTCCGTACATAAATAAATATATACCTATATATTTATAATTTTTATTTGGACACAAATGTCCCTCAATGTCTTTAAATGTATAACTTCAATTATATAATATAATAAAAAAAAAACTTAAGTTACATTATTTAAAGACTAAGGACAAACAAGAAGCCTTACACGGCTATCTTATAAAAGCTGTTAAGGATTAAATTATTATGTGTATAAAAAAAATTGAATAAATAAGTTGGATAAGACCATCTAGTTGTCAACTCCCCATTTTATAAATTATATAATATATCCCTTAAAAATAATATTTCTATATAATAATAATAATAATAATAATAATAATAATAATTATAATAATATAATAACAGAATGTCTAGGAGTAAAAAATTGTAAATAAAATATTACACATTAATATTATTATTATTCCTGTACAGAAGGAAAAATCAACAAATATTATTTTACTAAAGTAGGAAATTATAAATGATCTTATGGTTAAATGTTAAGGAGGACATCCTTAATTACATTTCTCTAACTAAATAACAACAACGAATAGCAAAACAAATATACACAAGTCATATAAGTCAACACGGCCGATCAAATTCCAATACAAAATTATTATTTTGTACTTTAAGCTGCCATATTTACATTCATAAATGTACACAACAGAAACAATACCAATACACTAAATAAGCTCAAAAATGTTCACTTTATAGGTGCATTCGGTTTTGCATATTTGATTGAGGCTGGTTAGGACCCTGCGGTCCTGGCTGTGGTTGCCCTTGCATCTGTTGAGGATACATTGGAGGAGCGATGGCACCGCCCTGTTGCTGTTGCTGTTGTTGGAACATTTGCCTTTGTCGTTGGTTTCTAATAAACTGGGCCAACAGCTGTGGGTTGCTCCTCAGAATCTCTCTTAGGCGTTGTTGCTGTTCAGGTGGACTGTCAGTGTTGGTGCGCAGTGCATTTAGTAACTGTTGTAACGATTGGTTAGGTACTTGTTGATTAGGATTTTGTTGGTAACCTTGGGGTCTGGAGGTCATAACTTGTTGCTGTTGAAGCATTGGATTTTGTTGGTTATTGAGTATCATTTGTTGTTGAGGTTGAATGTTCATTTGTCTTTGCTGCTGCTGTTGAACTTGTTGTTGTTGTTGCTGCTGCTGCTGCTGTTGTTGTTGCTGCTGCTGCTGTTGTTGTTGTTGTTGTTGTTGTTGTTGTTGTTGCTGCTGCTGCTGCTGCATCATCATTTGATTGTAATTAGGTTCAGTAACCCATTGATTGACTTGTTGTGGAACAGGGGGAGCGATCTGCATATGTGGTCGTTGCATCTGCTGTTGAGGACCACCTTTTCCATATCCCACGTTATCATGTTGTCGTGCCGCTTCTTCTTGTACTTGTTTAACTACTTGTAAAACATTGGCAGGTGGTGTTTGTTTCCCTGGGACCATTACTGGTCCTTTATGAGGTATCATTTTAGTTTGATTAGACATATGTTGTGTTGCTACAACAGGAGCTGTATTTTCCGTCCCTAAAGTACCAGTATTCATAATAGCCATACGTCTTCTTAATAGTTGTGCTTGTTGCAGTCTTTGTTGAAGTTGTTGCTGTTTGATCTTGTGTTTCATATTTGGACAGAATAACACTGGACACTTAGCTTCAGTACAATACTTAGCATGATGGAAGCAAAGTGCAATATATTGTTTACAAATCGGACAGTTGCCATTAGATTTGACTTTACAGAGTTTAACATGTTGTACCACCCTTTTCATACGTTGACAACTTGCCAAGCGACAATTTGCATCCCTGCATTGGCAAGCATGTACAAGTGATAATATACACCGGCGGATGGATAATTTTCTAGCTTCCTGAGGATCTGCTTGTTTTTGGTCACCAGGAGATGATCCGTCGTCCAAATCAAGACCCAATTTCTCCATAGTATGTGGATGCTTTTCTTTATCGTAACAGGTAATACATAAATCAAAGTCATCGCAAACAGTGCAGTGGTATCTGGTTTCTACATGTGATTTACAACTATTACATGTGTAAACAAATTTATCTTGTCCTTGATTATGAAGTTCATACAACATTGCCATTGAAGAAAACTTTGCTCTCCTAAGTGATGAAAATTCATAGTGTTTTTCTCGAGCCATGGTCAAAAATGCATCTCTACCGTCCATCAAATCACAGCTAATTAAAGGATCTGGGTCTTGTATTGCTCCTAATGCTGCAGCCGATTGTACACTATGTAATCTAATTACAAAAAACACTTCTTTATGTTTATCCATGTTGTCAAAAATTTTAGCGGAAAGATCACTGCTAGTTTGAGGTAGCATAGTCTTCTTTGAACTGCTCTTTCTCTGGCTGGACTTCGATTGTTTGATTTTTGGACTTTTGCATACCTTTTTTCTTTCCGTCAGGTCCAATTTCAACTTCATCACTTACACACATTTCAACAGATTCTTCAGCCTCGGCTAGTTTGCGCTTCTGTTCTTCTTCTTGGTCAAGTTCTTTAATACTATCTTCTAAAGCATTTGGCCAAAAATCGCCTTCAAAGTAAGGTAATTCTGCTGCTGAACTTAATTTATCTTCAATAGCTTGCTTTAAAATATCTTTATAGTCCAGAATTATGCGTTCAATTATACCCTTATCTAGCATTTTCTTATACCATTCTTGTAATCGTTTTGGTTTTGGTATTTTTTGTTCAGGTGGATGACAATGAAATATGTAATCGTCACCTTCAGATGGAGGGCATGCCCAAATGTGAGCCATAGTATATCCTAATTGTTTTACATAATCAAGGTAACCCAATAATATTTCATGATAAACATACGTTCTGTACTGTTTGGGTCTGAAAAAGTTGACAGAATCTAAATATGCAATATAAACTCTTCTTGTATTGGGTGACGGAGCTTCGGACCCATATTCTTGGACATGCATACCAAAGAAGCAAACATCAGTTCCATCAATTTCTTCAAATGCATAAAGTGCTTTTGCCCTGTAAGGAAATTCGCCTATCATCTCTCCATTATCAACAAAGCGATTACGCATTCCAGGTTTCACTTCAACTATTTTATCTGAACTGGATACTACACGTATAGCAACTTCACCAGCGCCTGCTTCTTTTTTCTTAAGGAAATTGTTCACTCTTGTTTCAATGTACGTACCTAATTTTGTTATAGCCAATTTTTTAGCATTGAATTTATGATCTTTTCGTTTTTCACCTCGCTTCTTCAGACAGTTTTCACAAACATATCCTAGTGGATTAATATTCTCGTTGTGCAGCACACATATTTGATGGAGTTTTCTTCCACAATGAGTACATAATATGAATGGTTCCAATTCTAGATGATCATTTTTCATTTCCATAAATTGTTCTTTTTTAATAACTTGTTGGGCTTGTGTAGGGTCTTCGCCCAATGTTACAGCATCACCAGGTATATCGTTAAAGCATTTAACACAATAAATATATCTATTTTCAAAACTGAAGTATTTAGCATCTCTTGGAATAGTACACAACTGTTTTCCAAAACAACAAAGTACTTGCGGATTGAATGTATACTTACGACCACAGCAATAACCAAGACTTCTCATAACAGGGTAAATTTCTTGTTCAAAAACTTCTGAAAGTTTTGTACAAGATTTATATACTTTTGTAGACTTCTTATTATAATGCCAAGCATTTTCAAACATTAACCAAACATCATCAACATAACTCCAAGGGTCAGAAAATTGACCAGTATTCAGTTTTTCTCGAATTGTTGATAAATCCATTGGCTTTTTTATGATTATAAAATAGTCGGGTATATTAAGTGCTTGAGGATCAACAGGCTGTTTAAAAGGATCTGATTCAGGCTCTTGTTTGTATAATTTTTCAAGAGTAGGCATTAAGGCTTGTCTAAGTTCATCAGGCCTAAATACACATTTCTTTATGGCTGTTTTACTGTCCGATGTAGTTGGTTCAAATGGTTTAATATCTGTAGTGATATTTGGTTTAGGACTCATAGGTTCATCTTTAATTTTAACTTCCATTTTCTTTGAACTTGAACCATTATCGTCGCGTTCTTGTTTAATCTCAGATTTCACAGATGCCGACGGTGTTTCGGAATTCATTTTACCTTTTCCATAAGCACCTTTTCCGTCATTACTATCATCATACTCATCTTTTACTTCACCTTTAACATCCTTGGGAGAGTCATCTTGTGCTAAAGCAGAAGCAATAGCATTCATCTGACTCGAATGACTAATTGATGATGGTTCTGATCTAGGATAGCCTTTACCCATACTATTGGGAATAATTGATGGTACACTTGTAGTTGATGGCACAGTATTATTGGCTATTAAACTAGGCCCATTAACCATTTTTTCCATATTCATTTGATTAAGTCTATTTGGTTGTAACATTTGATTGTTTAAGTGTTGTTGCTGTTGTTGAACTTGCTGTTGTTGTTGTACTTGTTGTTGCTGTACTTGTTGCTGTTGCACTTGTTGTTGCTGTTGAACTTGTTGTTGTTGCTGTTGAACTTGTTGTTGTAAATGTATTTGATGTGGTATTTGATTCATTGATTGATTTGGAAATTGAGGTTGAACGAACGAAGATTGAGATATGTTTGACATCATAGGTGAGTTAGATGGGAACTGACTAGTGTTGATTGGACTTGGGGCAGGTGGCTGGGTCAAACCAAAAGTAGTTTGGGGTAAATTTGGATTTGGACTTGGTCCAGGTACAGGTGAAGTAATTGGAAAATGTACCCTGTCTGACATTTGTGTTTTCATTAGACCAGATGTTGTTACTACTTGTTGTGGCAAATTTTGCTGGTTGGGTTGAATTGAAGTATGATGTAAAGGTTGTTGCTGCTGTGGTTGTGGTGGTTGCTGCTGAGTAGGCAATCCTTGGGTAGACCCAGTTGGGAAGCACTGTGCATTGATATTATTAGTCGGTTGCTGAGTTCCCAATTGCTGTTGCATTTGTTGTTGTTCTTTTCGCTTTTGCATTTTTTCTTCCAACTCTTTCTGTATTTTATAAAATGTTTGGGCTAACCTATGATAATATTCTGACCTAGAGTTAGCAACATTGTACATATCACCTTCTACTTTTCTAGCATAAGCCACTAAATTATTCATACGTTTATCAAGCATTGCTTTAGGATCATATGTTGGAAAAATTGCTTGAACTAATTTATGCACTAAATGATTTCTTAGTTCAGGTGTAATAGACTCATGCCATTCCTTACTTTCAATGTGATTTCCTGGTATTGATTGACTTGGTTGTGCTTGATTGTTCATTTGAGTAGTCATTGTATCAGTACTAGTTGTCATTATGAAAGAATTAGGAATATTTGTTGCAGATTGTTGAATGCTAGACGGAACTGGTACAGTTGTGTTCGGAGCAGACTGAGACATTTCATTTACAGAACTTGTACTGGGATCTGCACTCATTGTAGTCGTTACCTGGGGTTGTGAATGTGGGACTAATACGCGTGTATTTTGATTAGGTGTCAGCACATTGTTATTAGGAGGATGTGGCATTTGAGATTGCAAAGCCGTTCGTATACCAACATTGTTAGGGACTCCCTGTTGTACTTGGTTCACTTGATTATTTACAGTGTTATAACAATTCATATCGTTCATTCCAGTAGTATTTTGAGTAGTGTTATTTGCTAAAGCATTGCGATTATTCGATGCTTTTAATGGTTGGCAAATAGGACAATCTGGTCTAGTACATTGTTTCCAATGTGATATTATTTGTCTAGATGATGAACAGTGAGCTACATTACAATTTCGACCAGCTAAGCAATTGGTCATATGAGCTAAGACTCCTTTCATTGTATTACAATGTTGCAAACGACATTGTCTCACTTCGCCATTAGCTTGATTATCTCGTCTCTGGCACTGATGTGCATGTAATAATAGCACAAGCTGTTGGGTTATCATTTTTCGTTTTTCTGGATTTGCTTGACTACGGTCAGCGGGAACTCCTTGAGGTGGCACAACTACATTTTGATTGACCATATTAACTTGCTGTGGTCCAAGACGTATATTTGCTTGAGACTGAGGAGGAACCGGAGTATCCACTAACATTCCATTAGTGTTGGCATTAAATCTCGGTACTGGTTGTCGTACAATACCAATTGGTTGTTGTTGGACAACATTAATTTGTTGATTATTTTGGTTGTACGCATTGAAATTATTCACTGGACTCATTGCACCCATTGGCGCTTGTAACCTATGAGAATTAATTGGCAAACTATGAAGTTGATGAGGAGTCTGGTTGCGAATTTGTTGTGGATGATGCATGGCTATGTTCCGTCCCATCATAGGTCCGTTTTGTTGTTGCTGGGATATGCCATGATGAGGATTGTGCATTGAATTACTAACCAAATTGTTTCCCATCATAATATTCACATTTGCCACATTTATTCCACTAATACTATTTTGTAATTGATTGGAATTAATGCCTGCATTTCCCATATTTACAACCATTGGTTCTCCAGTTTTACTAACTAAAACATTTGGTGATGGCATGTTTGGATTAATTGGTTTATTCATAGACATTCCAGCCGCTGACACAAGATGTTTAGTACCCATAAAATGGTGAGCTAACTGATGTTGACTGACTACTAATCGTTGTTGAATATTAGGTTGTTGAAGTTGTTGAGGATTATTTTGCTGAACGATCATACCATTTTGCAATGGTAATTGAGGACCAAGATTTGGCTTGATATCAGGTTGCTGGTTCCAAGACGTAGTGCTAATAAGCTCATCAGGGAGATCATTCTCGAGATCAAACATCTCATTGCTAGAATAGACACCAGATGAGTCAGAAGACCCTTGGAATGGATCTTCCAACTTTGGCCTCTTGTTCGGAGGGCTATCCACCAATAGGTCTGACATATTTAGTTCAGGAAATTAAAAACAGAAAAGACCTAGTAAAAAGTTACTAGTATCAATAATCACATATTAAAAATTGCACAATGACCTAAACCTATTTTACAATATGTCAAATTCTTAAAAACTCAAATTGAGAAACAAAATAGTTAAACATAGTTAAGTCACATAATTAAGCAGTATGTGATATCACCATACAGTAATATGGGCCATGTTATGCTAAGTCGGAGGCTGATTATTGAAGATTTCATTTGTAGGTCTCTTATTTCAGCTAGATTCTTGCATGTTAAAATTCTTTATGACTGATAAATGGTTCAACCTAAAATAAATATTTTTAATTAATAATTAATACATCTTATAGCCTATAGGTATGTACGTAGGTATTAGATTTGTGATTAAA